AGTTTCAACATGCATATTGGCACCTTTACACATCAGATTTTGGTGATGGTTATGACCCTTTATAATACTCTCAGCACTGTTTAAAAACATTTAGTCGTTTAGGACTTACACCTGTGTGTGTGTGTGTGTGTGTCTCTCTCAGGTGTGAGGCGGCGTACGGCGGCCCTCAGTGCGATCAGCTGCTGGACTTTAACATCCTGTACGTGGTGCCCAGCGGCCAGAAGCTGCACTACGTCCTCATCGCCGCCATCATCGGAGCCGTTCAGATCGCCGTCATCGTTGCTGTGGTCATGTGCTTCACCAGGTAATTACTCTTTGTTCTTTAAACACTTCAACTACTGAACTAATACTTAAAAAATACTGCTACTCCTACTGCTCATGTAGCTGTAATAAATGCTTAATAATTGAAACTGGAGGTTTCATCTCAAAAGACAATGACTGCATTCTCTGGTTTAATCAGATTTGGTCATGATCTTCATCAGATGAACGTTTTCAGGGTCGAGACAAACACACAAAGTTTAGTTTTAAGTATCACACAGGAACTTTTACCTTAGTGTTTCTTGATGATTATAATCATTGATGTGTAATTCCTTTTTTGTCCTGCAGGAGGTGCAACAAGGCGAAGCGCGGGCGGAGACAGAAGCAGCACCTGGGTCACTTCCCGTCAGGAACGTCCTCCAGGATGATGTAGCTGCTCCGCTCTCTCTCTCTCTCTCTCTCATGTTTTTATGAAAACCCAGAAGTCTAACGTTTTCGTATCACACAGACTGACTGCATTTTTGATATCTCCACTTTTTGGTGCCTCTTTTCCCCCCTTTTTTAAAAATAGATTTTGAATTCCTTAAGAGGCACCAAAAAGTGGAGATATCAAAAATGCAGTCAGTCTGTGTGATACGAAAACGTTAGACTTCTGGGTTTTCATAAAAACATGAGAGAGAGAGAGAGAGAGAGCGGAGCAGCTACATCATCCTGGAGGACGTTCCTGACGGGAAGTGACCCAAGTGCTGCTTCTGTCTCCGCCCGCGCTTCGCCTTGTTGCACCTCCTGCAGGACAAAAAAGGAATTACACATCAATGATTATAATCATCAAGAAACACTAAGGTAAAAGTTCCTGTGTGATACTTAAAACTAAACTTTGTGTGTTTGTCTCGACCCTGAAAACGTTCATCTGATGAAGATCATGACCAAATCTGATTAAACCAGAGAATGCAGTCATTGTCTTTTGAGATGAAACCTCCAGTTTCAATTATTAAGCATTTATTACAGCTACATGAGCAGTAGGAGTAGCAGTATTTTTTAAGTATTAGTTCAGTAGTTGAAGTGTTTAAAGAACAAAGAGTAATTACCTGGTGAAGCACATGACCACAGCAACGATGACGGCGATCTGAACGGCTCCGATGATGGCGGCGATGAGGACGTAGTGCAGCTTCTGGCCGCTGGGCACCACGTACAGGATGTTAAAGTCCAGCAGCTGATCGCACTGAGGGCCGCCGTACGCCGCCTCACACCTGAGAGAGACACACACACACACACACACAGGTGTAAGTCCTAAACGACTAAATGTTTTTAAACAGTGCTGAGAGTATTATAAAGGGTCATAACCATCACCAAAATCTGATGTGTAAAGGTGCCAATATGCATGTTGAAACTTTAGACCCTTACTTTATCAT